GGTGTGCACTCGCTCCGTGTTCCCAGATGACTGACTACTGCATGGTCCAGTGACACCCCTCGGAGTAAAAGCTTTATGGTGGTGGTTTTTATATTTTGCTGTAAAACAGAACCACCTACTGGAACTTTCTAAACTCACTGGCCCCAGATTTTGAGATGTAGCTCAGCAGTACAGCGCTGGTTTATTAGTAAGGGGAAAGTCCTGGGTTCAGTCTCCAGCATCAGAAATGAAGAAGAAGAAGAAAATCCCTTGCCAGGGCATATCACACACCAAGGAATCTGGAAAAATTACTCCTATGGAGTGGGCACTGCTGATGTCCTGAGAACTGTCAGTCAAGGTTCCCCATTTATGTCCCTTAGGGAATGTCTGACTGGTGACAGCTTTGGAGTCGGATTTGCATTTTTATTTTATTTTAGTCTTTTTGAGACAGGGTCTCACTATGTAGTTCAGGCTGGCCTTGAACTCTAGTCCAAGGTGGACTTGAATATGCAGTGATTCTCCTGCCTCAGCCGCCCGAGTACTAGGATCACTGGCCTATGCCACCAGCCCAGCTGAGATATGCATTTTAAACAAATTTCCTGATGCTGCTGCACTCCTGGCGAGAGGAGGTGTCAAGAATGTTCTTCCCAAGGCTGCTAGTCCAGCCCTCCACACAACTGCATCCTATCAGGAGATAGACAGGGTCCCCCCCTCCATATACACACACACACCGCCCCTACCCTAGCCTGTGCAGATTCTCCATAACCTTAGTTTCCATATTCAAAACCTATTTAGTCATGCAAACGCTGTGTACCCCACACACTACACCTGTGGCTAGCGCAAATGAACCTAAGATAAAATTAATGTCTTTCTTTCAAAGGCAAAAAGATCAAGCTCCACAGCCAAGACCAGGTTTGTTTGCGGAACCAAGGATTGAACTCAGATCCTTGCGCTTGTCAGGGAAGCGCTTATGCACTGAGCCATCTCCCCAGCCCCTCTTTGTTTGTTTTCTCTAGATAATCTGGAAAGTTTAAAGGCCAGGTTTTATTGGAGTTAAAACCTTGAGAGCGAACCTTGGCAACTAGAACAGAACACTACCATCTCTTACAGGCTTTGGGGCTCTATAGAATTGTAAGAGGAAGTCTCTAGCTGCCTTAGAGTCTGTGCCTACTGAACCATTGCAGTTGTGCTTGGCTGTCTTGGAAACTATGATTGTTAAGACTGATTTATAAACTGCTGGGAAACTGATTCAGAGACTGCCTATTCTGGGAAAACAGATTCTGAAGAAGGGGGGCCAGTACTGGTCATGACTTGGCTAGGACAGCAGTGGTCTGATTCTTTCACAGGGAAAAGGCAGGCAGCAAGCTTATGCTGTGGCTAGGTAAGGCTGAGATCTTGGCGGCTTTGCAATTTGAGACGTGGGAATACCACACACCTGTACACTCTGAATTCTTTTAAAATTTTTAGCATTGAAAATTGAAACTAGGGCCTTTATACTGAGCTACATCTCCAGCCCATTTTATTTTTTATTTTGAAGTAAGGGCTTACTGTTATCCAGTTGGGCTCAAACTTTTAATATTTCTGCCTCTGCCTCCCAAAAGGCTGATCACAAGCATGCCTGGTTGAATAAGCTACTTTCAAAAATATCTTTATGGGGCCAGTGAGAGAGCTTAGCAGACTTAGTGCCTGCTTAGGCAAGCACAGGGACCAGGGTTTGACCCCCAAATCCGGGCGTGGTAGCGCATGCCTGTAATCCAGTGCTGGGGAAGCTAAAAACAGGAGTCTTGATACAAGTCTGAGCTGCGTAGTAAGACCCTGTACCAAATACAAAAATTACAAAAAAAAAACCCAAACAAAACCTTTATTAGCATAAATAACATTCACTTGATTTGCTGAATATAAGCAAAGGATTAGTATATGGCATCTAAGAATAGAAACCATGCAGGGTAATAATAAGCACTCTTCTGTAGCACTAAGCTGCTTATTTCCCTGGATCTGAGTGTAATCTTTCTTACTCTTTTGCAGATCAGAAGCATCCCAGGCTATGTTCTACCCAATTTGAACTCAACCCCTCTTTGTCTTCATTTTTTAAAATTGGTTTCATTTATTTACTTTTATAACTTGTATATTTGGTACAGGCCTTTGTTTTCAGACCAAAGCTTGGCCTGGCTTTCAGACCAATGCTTACCCTGATAGAGGCTGGAAAGAGGCCTGCCTCCTTCCTCCACTGAGCAGATGAGTGGGGGATCTGCAGGGAAGACGTTTTCCCTTATTCATATCAGCAGTGCTTTTTGAGTTCCTACTAAGTGCAGGGCTCTATGAGAGGGGTTGGGGGAAGGAGGAGGGGGGATAGGTACCTAGAAGTATGAGTATTCATATAAACAGAAAACAAGATGGACTCTAAGAAAAAGTTCAAAGACAATCCTAGAGTCCCAAAGGAGATGACCCCAGTAAAACTAGGGATACTTACGAGAGGGTCTCTGCAAGCAGGCACTCAAAGGACAACAGCAGAGCCAGCAAGACAGCTCAGCAGTCTAAGCGCCTGCTTAGGCAAGTGCAGGGAACTGGGTTCGATCCCTGGCATCACATGTTGTGCCAGCCATACTCCCAAGCATGCTGAGCTGGCCACTAAGTCCCAGCATGGTGGCGCACGCCTGTAATCCCAGCACTGGGGAAGCTGAAAACAGGAAGATCACTAAGTGTCCGAGCTGTGCAGCAAAACCCTATACCAAATGTGAAAAAAAAAAGAGATAAAAATAAGCTTCTATAAAAGCAAAGGATGACAGGAATTGGACCTCACAGGTGAGAAAAAGCCATCCTGGGACAAAGGTGCAGGAGTGAGCAGTTATGTTCACAGGCAGCAAGATCTGGTCTGACAGATCAAGGGACATGGCCAGGGACCAGAGAAGGGAACCACCTGCAGGAGAGGTCTCAGCCAGGTCCCACAGGGCCATGGGTCCCCTGAACAAGGAGGTCCTGCCTGCTGTGGCAGATACTCAGGAGTACAGGGAAATTTTAAGATCACTGGTAGAAAAAAAAGCTTGAAAACTGAGGGAAGAGGATAAAGGCAGGTTCTGTTTAGAGACTGCTGCAGAACTTAGGTGATAAATCCCAAGAGCCTCAATCAAGGCTGGGATGGGGTTAACATTTACAAGCAGAGAGGGGCTTTGCCACAGAAACTGTCACTAAAGCTCTGGACTTACTGGCAAGAAAGGTACTCAAAACGTAAGCACCTACAAGTACCTGTTGGTCAAACATTAAGGTATTACCCAAGCCCCAACATGTCCTCTGCTGGGTAAATGGGTCCAAATATCCCATGCTGGGCACACACAACAGAGGTCAGGCAGTGGCTACTGAGTAAAGGTTTGAGAAATGAAGAAGTAAAGTTCAGAAATTGGGGCAATCACGAGGAAGGTGGGGTAATCTGTGAAACAAAGTTCCAAAAAGACAGTCTAAGAGGCAGAAACCTGGAGTGGGGCCTGCTGCCAGATGTCCAGTGAAAGATGAGAGGCACAAGGCCCTACATTAGCAAGCCAGTGGTGAGAGTGATAATCACCTCACACACTGCTGGGACTGGTGCCCTACTGAGCTCCCCAAGCAAGTAAGTGTCCTGCAATCTTCTCTCTGGCCCTCAACCCCTCTGCTATATCTGCCTGAAGATGCAGAAGTTCATTATGAACTTCTTTTATCCATCAGGAATCAAGTAAGCAAAATCTTGAAACAGGATGACAGATTTTTATTTTTTCTTAAGATATTTTTTTTCTTCAGTACCAGGGATCGAACTTGGGACTTTGCCCTTGCCAGGCTGGTGCTTAAGCAGCTGAGCTATATCTCTGGCCAATTTTCTTAAGATTTTAAACTGGGGCCAGGAGTGGTGGCACACTGCTATAATCCCAGCAATCAGGAGACTGAGGCAGGAGGATCACTGCAAATTCAAGGCCAGCCTGGGCTATATCACCTAACTTCTTTGGCCATGAGAACCCAGCTTATCTCCCATGATGATAACATTTTAAGTAACTTTTTCATAGTAGATGCTAAGCACTCTGCCTGGTGTGCAGAAAGAACTGAGGAAATACTAGCTGTTGCTACTATTAGTTCTTCCTCACATGTGTCCAATGTCACCCCCTTTCCCTGTTGTCCCATCTTGGGCTGACCCCCATTACTGTACATCCTATGACAGGAGGAGGCAGCTTCCTGACTGCTCTCCAGCCTCCAGCCTGCCCTACCCGTAATCACACGGCCTTCCTGTCGCTGTACTCTGCTTCCTCCCAGGCCCTATGGGCCTGTCTAGAACCTGCTGGGGCCAGTGCTGTCGATCCAAGACTCCACTGCCCTTCCCCAATTCCTAGCACTTTCCCTTCCCAGCCAGCTCTCCCCAAGGGGAAGGAATGTGCCACCCTGGTCCCTCTTCTCAGTGGCCATGGCCTCCTCCCTGTCCCATGACTTTCCACATTTCACTCTGTCCTGCAACCTCTCGCTTACATTTGACTTCTCTCCGGAAGCCTTTGCTGACCTCTCTGTTCACTCCTTTCTCTGAACTTCCCCACAGCAGTCATTCCATGGGCTCTGGCAACTGTCCTGGGGCACAGTGGCTTTGGTTGTGGCCTGTATTCACTTGATTAGTAATTTCAGATCTGCCTATGCCCCAGGACAGTTGGATTTTTCTTCTAGTTATCTGGAACTATTTGAATGTGTGTTGCAGAACCAAGCAAAGGTGCCAAGGGGTGGCTTATGGGGGCCTTCAGCCCCTCTTCCCATAACTTTGACCAACTCCCCAACTACTCCAAATAAACATGTAAATACAAAACTTGTGCCCACTCTGCAGATGTAGCACCAGGCATAGTCCTTGAGCCCCTCTTGCTCTGAAATTTGGAGCTAGCACTGCACACTGCACAGGCATTAAAATGGGGAGGACAGACTGAATGGCACAGAGACAGAGCAGAGGGAAGGTGCTGTCCTCTGTACTGCCCTGGATTTTACCTTTTCTTCTACCATGGGAGCCATGAGATTGTACATCTTACCACCATCCCGAAGGCTCTGGGTCAGGTCTTCCATCAGAGCCTCTGCCTCCTCACTGCTTTCCGGCCGATGCTCTTGCAGCCAGGCCTGAATTTCCTTTGGCAGCATAGTTAACATCTGCTCCTTTGTGTGGACCTCTGGCCTCAGCCAACGTCGACAGAGCTCGCGGAGGCGGCTAAGTGCACTCTGTGGTCCCTCAGCTGCTGGCTCCTCTAGCAGGCCACCCTTGCCAGTGCCCTGGCCAGAGGGCTCAGACTCAGGGCCACCCTCCTGCAGCACAGCCTCCTGCACCCAGGAGTCATCCTCCGGGAACACAGTGGTGACTGCCTCCTTCTCCTCCTGGCTGCTGTCTTCTGGAGGCACCTGGACCAAAGGGCTCAGGGGAGCGGTCACTGCTGGCACCTCTGCAGCCATCATCTACCTTCATGGACAATCACCCAGGCCTTAGTTCTTGTCTTCTCTAGCCAGGCTCTCTGAGAAGACAACTCCTTCAAATCTCAACAAGAAGTCCTGCCAAGAATTAAGACAGAGAACCAGAGCTGTTAAGTATCCTAAAAGCAACTCAGAACAACAAGTGATCTTTATATCTGCAAATCAACAGTTTCCTGTTCCTCTTAAAAGAATGCCTCCTTCCTGAAAAAAGATCTCTTACAGAACACAGTGGTACATACGTGTAATCCCAGCACTCTGGGAGGCCAAGTCAGAACGATTGTTAAATTCAAACCGGCCTGGGCAATTTAGTGACCCAGCAAGACCTTGTTGAAAAATGAAACATAAAAAGGACAGGAGATGTGGTTTAGTACAAAGGCCTCTGAGTTCAACCTCCAGTATGGAAAAATAAATAATTCAATCACAATAGCAGTCCTGTGCTTTCCAAGAAATCAAAGAATGAGTTCAGAAATGCAATGTTCACACACACATACACAATTACCCTGCTCTGAATGAGTTTAGACTTGCTATACAGCAGGTGACCTTGACTTAACATACAAGTTAGTCACTCAACCTCAGTGACCACTGACCAGATAATAACACTCACCCTTATCATATGAGGATATCTTACAGATTAGCAACAGATCAGATCTCAAGGTACTCAGAGCTTCACCTGACAACTTCATTATTGCCTTGTCTTTTTTTTTTAAAATATTTATTTGTGTGTGTGTGTGTGTGTGTGTGTGGCCTGCTCAGTCCACCAGGGGCCGGGGCTGGCTGGCATGTGGTGCTGGGGGATTGAACCGCGGTCCCTGTGCTTTGCTAAGCTTGTTCTAAGTAGGTGCTTTAGACCACTGAGCCATCTCACCAGCCCCTATTGCCCTGTCTTGAAGAACAGGGATCCTCAGTATCATCAGGGGAACAGTTCCAGGAACCCCAGAGATATCAAAATCGGTGGCTGCTCAAAATACTTACATAGTGTTTAGTGATAGAGCTCAGTGACACAGTGCCTGCCTAGCAGGTGCAAGGTCCTGAGTTCGATTCCTAGTACCAAAAAAAAAAAAAAGATTCTTTCAGACCTGTAATCCCATCACTCAGGAGGCTGAGGCAGGAGAATCACTGTGAGTTTGAGACCAGCTTGAGCTACAAAGTGAGCTCAAGACCAGCCTGAACTGCATAGCAAGAACTTGTCTCTAACACATACACACAAAAACCCTTATATATAAAATGGTACAAGGTTTGCAGATGACCTGTGCACGTCTTTTCATGGACAGTGGTCCCTGACTTACTGCAAAGGTTACATTCCAGACACCCCTTCAAATAAGTGAAAATCAGGGGCTGGTGAGATGGCTCAGTGGTCTAAAGCACCTACTTACAACAAGCTTAGCAACGTACAGGGACCGCGGTTCAATCCCCCAGCACCACATGCCAGCCAGCCCCGCCCCCTGGTGGGCTGAGCTGGCCACACACACACACACACACAAATAATAATAATAATACACACACACACACAAATAATAATAATAAAAATTTAAAAAAAAAGAAATAATTGCATACAATGAACGACATATGCTTAAAATGTACACTTTCAATAATTCAGTTTTTTTG